TTCGCCGACGGCGGCGACGGCGACGCCGTCCGGGGCGAGGACGGCGATGATGGCGACGGCGCCGGCGGCGGTGCTGGCGACGGCGGCGACGGCGGCGGCGATCGCGACGGCGTCGGCGGCGATGACGGCGGCGGCGGCGACGGCGGCGGCGGCGAGGGCGGCGGCGGTGACGGCGGCGGCGGCGCGGGTGGCGGCTGCGAGGGCGGCGGTGGCGAGGGCGGAGGGGGCGAGGGCGGCGATGAGGGCGAGGGTGGCGGCGGTGGTGCGGGTGAAGGCAGTGAGGGCGGCGGCGATGGCGAGGGCGGCGGCGGCGAGGATGGCGGCGGCGGCGAGGGCGGCGGCGGCGAGGGCGGCGGCGGTGACGGAGGCGGCGGCGCGGGGGGCGGCTGCGAGGGCGGTGCTGATGGAGGGAGCTGCGACGGCGGTGGCGGGAGCGGTGGTGCAGAAGGCGGAGGGGGCGAGGGTGGCGGCGGCGAGGAGGGCGGCGGCGAGGATGGTGGAGGCGGGGAGGGCGGCGGCGGCGAGGGCGGCGGCGGTGACGGAGGCGGCCGCGCGGGGGGCGGCTGCGAGGACGGAGGGGGCGAGGGCGGAGGGGGCGAGGGCGGCGATGAGGGCGAGGGTGGCGGCGGTGGTGCCGGTGAAGGCAATGAGGGTGGTGGCGGCGACGGCGGCGGCGGCGAGGGCGGTGGCGGCGAGGGCGGCGGCGGCGACGGAGGCGGCCGCGCGGGCGGCGGCTGCGAGGGCGGAGGGGGCGAGGGCGGCGATGAGGGCGAGGGTGGCGGCGGTGGTGCGGGTGAAGGCAGTGAGGGCGGCGGCGATGGCGAGGGCGGCGGCGGCGAGGATGGCGGCGGCGGCGAGGGCGGCGGCGGCGAGGGCGGCGGCGGTGACGGAGGCGGCGGCGCGGGGGGCGGCTGCGAGGGCGGTGCTGATGGAGGGAGCTGCGACGGCGGTGGCGGGAGCGGTGGTGCAGAAGGCGGAGGGGGCGAGGGTGGCGGCGGCGAGGAGGGCGG